AATTTTCACCGTTCTACCATCATCCCCTATTTTTTAATAGGGGTTGTTTTTTTTATTTTTTGTTACCATCTCCGAAACGGCTAGACCGATTTTGATAAAATTTTATATGTATATTCAGTACGTCTAAGAATAGGTTGTTACCTATTTTTTATACCCTTATGTGGTAAGGGTAGCCGAGAGGGTAGCCCACCCCCACTTTTTATTTTTTGAAAAGAAATAAATGTTTTTATTTTTTTAGTTGGCATTAAAAAATACAAATAACCCTAAATTTTCACCGTTCCATCATCATCCCCTATTTTTTAATAGGGGTTGTTTTTTTTATTTTTTGTTACCATCTCCGAAACGGCTAGACCGATTTTGATAAAATTTTATATGTATATTCAGTAGGTCTGGTTTGGTTTGGTCACAACCTATTCCTAGGTTGTTATCTATTTTTTATACCCCTAAGGTGATAAGAGTGGTCCACCCCAACTTTTTTTTTACTTTTTAGACAAAATTTTTTATTTTAATTGTTTTATAGGGAGTGCTTATTTTTTAGGGGGTGCATGTCCAAAATTTTCTTCTGGGTATTCACTTTCATCACTTAAGGGACCTCTGTACAAAATTGCATACTCCTAGTCCTAGAACGGATTTTACATAAAAATTATACAAATTTTTACCCTTAGTTTTATTCCCTTAAGGAATAAATTCCAAAAATCGCTTTAATTATTCAATTACGCTACATAATAAACCTCTGTGCAAATTCTCATATTCCTTGAACAGAATTTATTGTTCCAGAACGTTCAACCCCTCATTTCACACCCTTAGAGGGTGAATTTCCAAAAATTGCTTCTTAGTGCTAAATTACGTTACATAAGGAACGTCTACAAAATTCATACTCTAAAACCGATTTTAACAAATTTTTGTACAAAGTTTCATCCCTTGTTTTTTAGGGGATGCATGCCTAAAATTCGCTTCTAGGTACTCACTTTCATCATTTAAGGGACCTCTGAACAGAATTTCATACTTCTAGTCCTAGAACGGATTTTACATAAAATATTATACAAATTTTCACCCCTAGTTTTACCCCCTTAAGGAATGAATTCCAAAAATCACTCTAATTATTCAATTACGCTAGATAAGGAACCTCTGTGCAAATTTTCATATTCCTTCAACAGAATTGTTTCAGAACGTTCACCCCTCATTTCACACCCTTAGAGGGCGAATTTCCAAAAAGTGTTACTTAGTGCTAAATTACGTTACATAAGGAATGTCTGTGCAGAATTTCATACTTCTAAAACCGATTGTAACAAACTTTTGTACAAATTTTCATCCCTTATTTCTAGGGGATGTATGTCAAAAATTAGCTTCTAGGTACTCACTTTCGTCACTTTCAAGGAAACTCTGTACAAAATTTCATAGAACCTAGAACTAACATTTTTTGTATAAAATTTCACCCCTCAGTTTCACTACCCTTAGGCTATACATTTCCAAAAATCGCTTATCAATGTTCAAATGCGCCACATCTGTACAAAAGTTCATACTCCTAGTAGGTACAGATTTTTTTTGTATAATTACACCCCTTTATCGAATTACACCCCCTTATGGGTCGAATTTAAAAAAAATACTTAGTAGTGCTCATCTTAGAGAACGAATTAATATTCTCCGTATTCACTCCAGTTTCCTAATACTAGCACAGATAACACATAATCATACTAGTTAATTTTTATCGGAATAGAAGTAATTTTTATTAGAAGGTACAAAAAATTAAAAATCTAAAATTTTATTTTCATAGCTACGTTTTTATAGCCTTAGGATGCCTCATGTACTAACGAATACGAAATATATAATCAATACATATTTCTTTAAATATCGAGAAATAAAATATGTTTTGGCAACACCGTACGAACTATTGCCGCGCGTAGTCCTCAAAATTTAAAATATTAGCATTTTCAGGCTTCGATTATGTTCAAAAGCGCCACCGTGTGTCAAATCACTAAAGCTTCCACACGAGAGTTCTTAAAACTATAATATTCTTTGCTACAACTAACTTTACAATAAAAATGTTAAATTTTCGCTGTTCGATTAAAATACCCTATCTTATGTTTTCTTTTCCTCCAAATAATCTTCTTGTCAAGTAAGGACCAATCTTATTTGACATATTTCTGGTACACTTGAACTTGTGCTTTCATGGACACTATAAGAGTGCACTGTTTTACAGAAGCACGAACATTGATTCGAAGTATCTTCTTCCTCCACACGTAATAAAAACATCCTCTTTAAATGGCCACATCATATACTTATTTTTGACCATTCCCAATTACAATCACGATTTTTGCAAATCGCCTTTAGGAAAACTAAAAATAAACAGTTTTGGATCATCTGTAAACACGATTATGTTGTATAAACTTACACATGAAAACTAATCATTTTTCCCGGCGTATTAGCTTTCTTAGAATGACTATGACAATATACAACAAGCCTTTTTGAATTAGTGTTTAGAATAATTCAGATAATAATAAATTTTAACTAGATAACAACACAAACGAAAAAAAACAAAACAAACAGATGTCAATTAAAGAGGGGAAGTGACAGCGAGACCTGGAAGATGTCTGCCATCTTGCCGTCGACAAAAATTTGGATGCGCACTCGTCGAAGCTCATTCTCCCACTTCCATATCTCTGGTTTTGATGCTCCTCTGATTCGAATCTTCAAATTCCCTTACCACTTTCCTCTTTACCCCGCTGTCCATAAACTAGGGTAGTGCATATGGAGGGCTTAAAAAAGGAGATTTATCGGCAATGGGCAAATTTGAAATTTCTGTCCCCACTTTTAAGCAGCTTCCTCGGTTTGACAGCAGAGGCACTGCGATCGACTGGGATACTACATTTTCATTGTTAGTATACGATTTAATTGTGTTTTTAATAAAATTTATAGTTAATTTACTGAATTTTTAGCAGTACAACAATGAGTCGTGGTAGAAATTGCTTTGTACCTGGCTGTACAAGTGGGAATCCCAATAAAAACAAGGCAAATAAAGAACGGGGTGAAAGAAACCCAAGCCTTTTCAAAGCTCCTAATGTAAGTAGTATGACTATTTATTTATAAAAATTATGGATAGATGTTAAGAAAAACATTAAAATTATATACTGTCAGTGTACAGATTAAATTATAAACCAAATTAATAGGAAATATAGCCTAAAATCAACATGTGTATAACATAACCTAGGAGGCCTTGTTATAAAATTAAAATAATTTAATACTTACTAGGTGCTAAAATTACCTGTTGACATGTACCTATATTAACCACAGTTTGAACAGTGCTATTGAAAGTGAATATTAAATATTTATACTTCAAGATCGTATTCTCAAAATAACAGCTTTAATAGTGAAAAATGTTTTTTTTTTATTTTATTTAACAATTATATATCTTTTATTAGGATCCTAGCTTGCTACAGCAGTGGCAAAAGGCGATACCCAGATCAGACAAGACACTTAGCAGCAAAGATGCTGTTTGTGAACTACATTTTCTAGATGAAGATATTTTGACTCATTATGAGATCAAATTAACTGACGGAACTATCAGTAGAATTGAGCGGGGTAGACCATTATTAAAGGAGGGTTCAATTCCAAGAATTTTTCCTAACCTGCCTTCATATTTCTCTAGTAATAAAAGAAAGAGGAAACCACCATGTGTAAGGAGTGAAGCAACTGAAAAAGTTTCTAATTCAAAAAAAGTAAAAGGTCTGCCTATTAATCATGTTGAAAATCAAACTTCAGAACCTAACTTTGAGAATGAGAATGAAATTCTTCGTGATATTACTAATGTGCCAGTTGATGTTACAGACAGTAGAGTTACTATGTTCACAAATTTGAAAAATAGTTTGCATATGTCAGATTGTAAATTTATTATAAAATTATTTAGATTTTTGACTAGCCGTCGCAAGACGCTTTTTCATTGAGGAATAATAAGAAATAATTTGAAAATTATTGTATTGTGGTTGATACTTTTTGATTGTGTATATAAACCATTTAGAATAGTTTTTATGAATATGAATAAGCTCTTTAAATTAATATGTAGGTATATTGTAGCTAGGTATTTTTTTAGAATGCATTTTTTTTAAATTGTATGTGTTCTTGATATAATATGATGTTCCTGTTTTATTTTTTGGCATAGTACATATAGATATTTAATATCTAAGTGCTAAATTGTATATTAAATTTATATATTGTATATTTTATTTATTAAATTTAGTGGAATTAGTTAATAGAAACAAAAGTTGTAATGTATTAATATTGCTAAATAAATATTTATATGATGAAATAAGTCAGCGTATATACATATTCACAACTCTGTATTTTTGTGCTTTTGAAATAAACTGAGTACATTATTTATTCATTAATATTTTATTTACAAACCTACCTTATATTAATAAAGTGAATATCAATAGAAAAACCTTTACAATTATTAGGTGACATTGAATATAATATATCTTGAATTTAATTGTCTACGAAACAGTGACAATTTGCAAAACTTTGCTAATGACATTAAAACTTACAATTCAACGCTAGAAAAAACGCTATTGAACACAGAAACGTTTCAGCTCAATATACCTACTCTCTAGTTTCAGCTATAAAAAGTTATGGAATAGATAACACCGATCAAAGGGTGCAATGGTAACGTTAGCTCTTCAGTTTCCATTTATGATTAAGTTATTCCTGATAAAATACTTTAATTTTCGTTATTCAATCTGTCAATCGCCATAAAACCACTACTAGTTCGAAAGATTTTAATGTTTATTAAAATGGTATCACACTAAACTGCATGTAAACATGTCAATTTCAAATGTTTTAATGAAAAACTATGAACCTTTAAACTGCATCAACAAAACTATTAATAAAAAACACTAACACAATCACACCATAAACTATTTCATTCGCATTTCTCATCAAGAAACAATTACTGTTTACATCAAATCAAAGGTTGAACTGGTGATAAATTTGTTGCTGGAACTTCTATCTTTTTGTACAACAGTTCTAGGGAAGATTTATTTTAGCAGCTTATATGTTTCTTCGGTCGTGTATGCACTAAAAGAACCACATAATAAAACATTTTTATAATATCAACTTAGGAAAAGGATATATTAAACCGGCATCTAATATAACCTAACTAACTTTTCAAACTCAAATTTAAGGTTTTGTATTCACAATTTTAGCCACGCACATTGCTCAATTAGAAAACCACGTTTCTAAAAGCTAACTCTGGTAAAAATATGCCCAAATATTAACTTGGCTCTATAATTTATAACAAAATAGTTATTCTTGCCATAAGAAGCTGTGTATTTCTAGTATCCCAATCATCACAAGCGCCCCTAACGGCGATTTTCGAACTTCATTTAGATCTCAAAAACTGGGCCCATAATTTTTGCGTTCGATTCGCCTCCTCCTTTTAGACTCCATAGTTCGAATAAATAAAATGCGCAGTTGTCAGATTTTCAGATTTTATCTGTTTATCTTTGAAATCGACCAACTTTAGTAATTCTGTTTCTTTGATATTATCAGTACATTGCGAAAAAAGAACCTAAACCAACCTAAACTAAAAATTTACATTTCCGTATTAACATACGTTACTTTATATCCTTCTTATATTATTAATTTATTTTCAGAAAATCTTGTTTATTTTTCAAAGAAATATACTTGGCAACAGACAAAATGGGACTTCATGGGACCTTTAAATTTTAATATATCTGTGTCTCTCTCGCGAAATTCGACTTCTTTGTTCACTGTCGTCTCTTGTCTTTTCTACTCTTTGGTAATGGTGTGGATCCGGTGGCTGACCTTGAAACGAGTTTTTGCTGCATATAGTCACAGACACTACGCATGCGTACATCTTTGATGTTGCCAGATTGCAAGTTATTTTGGAAATATTTTCAGTAGAAAACAAATATGTGCATTTCAGTGTTTTTTTGTCAATATATACCGTATGATCGAAAAAACGGCGTTCAGTTGGTTGGGAACAAACTTGAGGACATTTCCCATATAAAATGACAGCTTTCATAGTCATCGCTGACGCTATTTTTTTTCAATCATAGTACGCCGGTATATTATTTATATTATTATTTTAATATTTAGCACAACACGTGAACGCTTATTATGTATTTTCATAGTCAATAAAATTAAATAGAAATAAAACACTAGATTCCTATAATTAATCTAATTGCTCTAGATTATTATGCTACGTTTAAAAAGGGCTTTATTAAAAATTCGGGAAATTAAAAGGGATGTGTCCAAGTTTTTTCTTTTTTTTTTAATTTTTAAATGCTGTAGCTCCATGTCATGTTCATAATAGTTTTTTTAACATTCCATCAAAACTACGGAGGCCTTAAAAGGCCTTTTAACTTCCGTAATTAAAATTGTAGAATCAGCTTCAGCAACATTAACAATTACCTCGTTTAATTCTGCTTATACATATATTGCATTTTTCTGCTACCTTAAGATTTCTCTATTCTTACACCTAATTTATGTGATTTTCTTAGCATATATGATTTATAAACCATATTTTTCCTAATGGAAGGATGGAATAGGATATGCAAAATTAAGATATTTGAACATTTATTTTCCAGACAAAGCATAATATAGTATTAAGATTAAGACATAACAAATATTATAAGAAAGATCTTAATATAAATCACAAACTAACTAAGTCTTAATTTGGTCTTGTATAAACACAGGTATAAAACTAAGAAGATCAAAACTCAACCTTCACCATATTGTCAAGATTTGGCATTATAGGAAACAAGAAATTACAGTAGATTAAGAAAAGAATATCAAAGTACACGATATTAAATACTGTAATGTATTCTACGACACAAACCATCTCCTTCTAAAGAGAAAAGATAAAACATAAAGCTTATTTTAGTCTTATCACCACACTCTTCGATAAAATATATGTCTAAAATTGCTATTAATCCACTAACTTGATATTTTTTAAGAAATTTTGATACAAACATTATAATTAAAGTATATTATATTAGTAAAATTATAGGTAAAATCACAGTAAAATGTTACCTCTATCTCCCATTGACGTGTATTGTTCTATAAGACTCGTCATGGTAGTACTTCAATACATCAGTACATATAATCAAAACTATTGTTGCCTGTAAATAACTAGAAATTAAATAACTTGAAGGAAATAAAATAATTCTAATAAGTTTAAAACCATTAAGAAAATATCCGTAAATGATAATTTTTAATTCTAATGTAAATATATAAATAAATGTTATTATTATTACAATTTTATATATCATTCCTTAATTTTGGATATCAAGATAAATCTGAAATTATAAAATTAATTATAGAATTTGTATTATTATTGATTAACACTGAAAAAAAATTTTCAACTGCAAATAATTCGAAAATAAACTGCAATTTGGCAACATCGACGATGTGCGCTTGCGTAGTATCTATGATCAAATGCAGCAAATATGGGCTTCAAGGTCAGCCACCGGATCCACACCTTTACCGTTTTGAAAACACAGTGAAACTTCTACAATCAAATTATTTTTCTTTGATTGTAGATGAATCAACTGATAGGGGAACCATAAAAAGTCTAGCTATGGTGGCAAGGGTTTTTGACAAAAATGACGTAAACGATATTTTCCTAGGTTTAGAAGATGTGGTACTGCTGACTCAAATGGTACTGCTGAAGGGTTATATACTTCAATTACAGACTTTTTCGCGACGTGTTCTATTGATTATAAAAAAAATCTGGTAAAGGTGTGGATCCGGTGGCTGACCTTGAAGGCCATATTTGCTGCATTTGATCATCAATACTACGCAAGCGCACATCGTCGATGTTGCCAAATTGCAGTTTATTTCCAAATTATTTGCAGTTGAAATTTTTTTTTGCGTGTTAATCAATAAGAATAAAATTCTATAATTAATTTTATAACTTCAGATTTATCTCGATATCCAAAATTAAAGTAATAAGGATAATGAAGATTGTGAAATGAAAGTATTATGAATATATAAAATTTTAATAATAATAACATTTATTTATATATTTACATTAGAGTTAAAATTTATCATTTACGGATTTTTTCTTAATGGTTTTAAACTTATTAGAATTATTTTATTTCTTTCAAGTTATTTAATTTCTAGTTATTTACAGGCAACAATAGTTTTGATTATATATGTATTGATATTTTGAAGTACTACCATGACGAGCCTTATTATAGAACAATACACGTCAATCGGAGGTAGAGGTAACATTTTACCTGTAATGTTACTAATATAATAGGTATACTTTGGTTATAATTAATGTTTGTATCATAATTTCTTTAAAATATTAAGTTAGTGGATTAATAGCAATTTTAGACATATATTTTATCGAAGAGTGTGTTGATAAGACTAAAATAAGCTTTATGTTTTATCTTTTTCTCTTTAGAAGGGAGATGGTTTGTATCGTAGAATACATTACAGTATTTAATATCCTGTCCTTTGATATTCTTTTCTTAATTTACTGTAATTTCTTGTTTCCTATAATGCCAAATCTTGACAATATGGTGAAGGTTGATTTTGATCTTATTAGTTTTATAAGAATAATAATAATAATAGAAATACAAGACTAAATTAAGACTTAGTTTGTGATTTATAATAAGATCTTTCTTATAATATTTTTATGTCTTAATCTTAATACTATATTATGCTTGGTCTGGAAAATAAATGTTAAAATATCTTAATTTTACATATCCTATTCCATCCTTCCATTAGGAAAAATATGGTTTATAAATTATATATGCTAAGAAAATCACATAAATTAGGTGTAAGAATAGAGAAATCTTAATGTAGCAGAAAAATTAATGCAATATATGTATAAGCAGAATTAAACAAGGTAACTGTTAATGTTTGCTGAAGCTGATTCTACAATTTTAATTACGGGAGGTTAAAAAGGCCTTTAAAGGCCTCCGTGTAGTTTTGATGGAATGTTAAAAAACTATTATGAACATGACATGGAGCTACAGCATTTAAAATTTAAAAAAAAAGAAAAAACTTGACACATCCCTTTAATTTCCCGAATTTTTAATAAAGCACTTTTTAAAGGTAGCATAATAATCTAGATAGGAATCTAGAGTTTTATTTCTATATAATTTTATTGACTATGAAAATACATAATAAGCGTCCACGTGTTGTGCGAAATATTAAATCATAATTATAAATAATATACCGCGTATTATGATTGAAAAAAATAGCGTCAGCGATGACTATGAAATGAAGACCGCTGTCATTTTATATGGTAAATGTCCTCAATCGTCATTTCCCAGCCAACTGGACGCCGTTTTTTCGATCATACGGTATATATTGACAAAAAAACACTGAAAAGCACATATTTGTTTTCTACTGAAAATAATTCCAAAATAACTCGCAATCTGGCAACATCGAAGATGTGCGCATGCGTAGTGTCTGTGACTATATGCAGCAAAAACTCGTTTCAAGGTCAGCCACCGGATCCACACCATTACCAAAAATTTTATTGGGTTTGCGTCCGACGCACAGTGCTTCGTCCCATGGACAAAAATCGAAAAAATAGTTAAAATTTACTAATATCTGAATATGTAATTTTATACTTATAGCAATGTTCAACCATCCTGTATATTATTTTTCATAAACAGCGTTTTTTGTTAGCAAATATTTTCACTAAAAATAAATTTTGCGATCATTATCTTATATCAGTAAAAAGAATAACATTCATAGTAGTTCTGTATATGGAGTTAAACGGTACGTACTTAATTGAAAGCCACTATGGATATTGTTAAACAAGGTATGTACTTTAAATTTATTTCTAAACAAGTTCGTTATTATTTAGTTTTTATTTATTTTTTAAGATGATTGTTAAATGGGTATAAAAATTTTACGTTTTCAAACTTCAAAAAGTCATTAAAAAAAACATATCAAAACATATCGTATTTATCGAATATTTTTGCGTCCTGCGTCCGCTTGCGACGAACTTTATTTTTTAATACTTTTCAGATGGAGTAAAATTGATAAGCAATGCCGATCTGGTTAATACTTGGCTTAATCATCAGGACAAGAACTCAAAATTATTTATATTTCAAAAAATGTGTTCTTTATTAGATATTGATGAACCTTCCAGTCCAATTTGATAACCATTTGTGCCTGAGCCCACTATGTTGGAGCGAAATGTGGCATAAAAAATGTTTCCATCTTTCAATTTATTATAAAACCTCATACCCAAGAAAACGAAAAAATAATATATGTATATGGTCTATTAAAGAGGTAACTATTAACATCCGAACCCCTCATACCAACAAAAAGAACAGTAACAACGCGAAAAAGTAACATATTAGAAAATGATGTACAAAAATATCTTATATGTGAGGATATTTAACCTACCTGTGATTTGGATACTATAAATTTGGAAGGTTCTGTCAGCAATGATTCTTCTGAATCAGAGTAGTTACGATCTATGCATTTTGTTGTCCTAAAGTAAATTTATAGTATCTTAAGTTTTTTTTTAATTAAATATATCATTAATGTTT